GATATCGATCTAGCGTTAACCAGTGTCCACCAACGTCTGCCAGCGACGGTATCATGTGGTAGTACGGTGCGATTGCCCAAGCCACAATTCCATAACGCCTAATCGAGCTGTCTGCTTCCTCCTACTTCCCCATTCTCTCTACTCATGGTCGCTGGTAGACGCTAGATCGATATCATACTTTCCTGGTCCCTCGAGAGGCTGACTGTCGCTGGTTGACGCCAGAAGAGTGTGAACGCAGCCTTACCGCGCATGCGGTCCGGATGATCGGCTCCAGCTCAAGCCAACCAAGCATTCTACCTCCCGGATACGGCGAATTGGTACCATGTTCATCTAGGAGGAACATTGACTTGTACATCGGCTGGGCCCGCAAGTCATTGTATAGGCCACATCGCATTCAATAAGCCACTACGATTCTGAAGTGGAAGTCGAGTACATGCCGCATCCCAGAGGGTGCATCAGCAGCGGAGACTTTATACCCTAGACTTTTCCATTCTCATTATAGACTGATCCGATGGAAATCAGTCATTTATATCCCCTCAAAATGATACCTTGAAGACTCTTTTCTGATTGTCTGCGAGTTGCAATCCATTCCATACATGAGGTGGGTAGGTCAGGAAAGATGTAACTATAGACGTCATACCAGCATTGGGACTCGACAGTGTCAGGAGCGGCAGTCCTTAATTAAGGGTGGCTGTACACGTCCCCTTAGGACGGGGGAAGTTCAATGCAAAAACGTCACACAAAATACATATTGTCCTGGCTCACTGTGCGCAGGGTACTTCCTGCTGTAAAGAAAGTTTCTGGAAAATACGACCCCCGCTTCAAATTTTCTCTATGGTTCGATCCTCTCCTCATCTTACTTGCCACCTCGCTAGCTTCCTACCACTTTCATGCAGGTTTTGCGATTGTGAAGACCGGAAATTCTGCCAAGTAAAAGGTACAGGTGTACAGAACATTTGTAACGGTAGAAAGCGCGGAAGGTCAGCAACACTGCGAAAATCATTCAGAACTCGAAGAATTTCTTTCAAAGACATTAAAGGCAAATAGTACCCCCTCTCACAGAATCTAACCGACCAGCAGATATGACTTCCCCCCACCCCTCATTGGAACTCTCCTACCTATGAACATAGCGCGCGCGTCAAGCGGTAGAAGTCAACTATCGAGAGAAGGGCCTTCTTCCGAGCCAAATGTGACACCCTTCTCCCCGCCAAATATAATAAATACGATGCCCTCCTGACCGACGAAATACAGCCCAGCCAAGAATTCTCCAACGTAGTCTTCTCTCTGAGCACTCTGGCATCCGCTACAGTTGGTCCCTTGTTCACGCTACCAGCGCAAGGAGGCCACATTCACGATGTCTCCAAAGTACCGTGCTCAGTCCCACCTTGTCGATCGACCCACGCGTGCACCCGCTTGCAGTTCTCTCATGAATTTGTCCCCAAGGTTTAGTGTTGTTATAAGCCAAGATCATGATCCAAGTAAAGCATCTCTTCAACTGTGATATCTTTTCCAGAACGGCTTCTATACTGCACTTCCGCACATCTGTAATCTGACATCGAAACTAGTTTGGGGATTTTTCATGGATTATCTGAGGAAAATAAAGGTGCTCACTCCCACACAGACCGTGAAGTTATCGCAAGTTCTATGTGAGTTTCTAAACAGTTTTGTTGTTTCCTATTATAGGATCGTCACTTCCCTGTGTGTAACTTCATGAAAACTGCTATGAAGAGCGAATGGAGTCAACTAATTTTTCTCGTGGTCTGAACTCAAAGACTCCTGCAATTAAATTTTGGCGCAAATCCTGAAACTCCATAAAGCCCTGTAAACCTACGCTAGGTCCCGACCGGATTCAACGCGTGGTATTCACAAGATTTTATAGGGCATTACTTTACTGCTTGATATGTTGATGACAGTTTACGAAATGCCCCTTCCCTCGGGAGATTTTCGTCAAACTCTTTTTTTTATTTCGTTTTGATTAAGCCGTGTTCATGCTTTGCGGCAGCAGTCTCCAGCGACCATCGGCGTTTCGCGTCCTTCACCATCAGCGAGTATAGATATCGATCTAGCGGAAGGCAGAGTCTACCAGCATCTGCCACCGTCCGCCGGCGACCAGGGCTAGAGAGTGTGGGGAAGTAAGAGGACAGCAAACTTCTGGTAGAGTATGGGGAAGTAGGAGGGAGGAGACAGCCGGATTAGGCATCGTGAAATTGTGTCGTGTGCAACTCAATTGGAACTGGATGTGTGAGAACAATGTGAACTCCCATACATATTTCAAAAAACTCAAAAGACACCACAAGTCACAAAAGTTTTTTTCAAAATGAATCATTTGCTATATTTCCGAAAATCGGGACAGCAGGGTAAGTGGATTGAGTGGGGGGGGGGAACAGTCCGTGTGAGTTGCATTTCTAAAGTAGGTATAGTGTCTAATTAAAAGCAACCTGAATAAATTCAGGCCTGAAAAAGGTGCTAGGCACCGAATATTGCAACTAGTTTATTTTGAAAAACTTTCGAAACTTGTGGTCTTTTGAGTTTTTTGAAACAAACATTGGAGTTTCGCATTGTTCTCACACATTCAGATGAAATGTGACTCCGGGACACCACACTACTCCGAACAATTTCAACTGCAAAAGACTACCACACATTACAATACTTCTGCTAGCTGGTGGACGCTGGTAGACGCTCGTAGACGCTGGAAGACTCCAGGTCGTTATTCTCACATGGTCGCTGGCAGACGTTTGGTGTACGCTGGTGTGCGCTGGTAGACCCTGGTAGACGCTCGCAGACTCGAGATCGATATCCATACTTTCTCAACGAGACGCTGATGGTCACTGGTAGACGCTGGTAGACTCCAGATCGATATCCACACTTTCCTGGTCCCTCGAGACGCTGACGGTTGCTGGTGTACGCTGGTAGACGTTGGTAGACGCTAGATCAATATCCATACTTTACCTAGCGGGTCGCTAATGGTCGCTGGTGGACGCTGGTAGACGCTGCCGTTCGCTGTCGACATCTATACTTTCCTAGTCGCTGACGCTCACGGATGCTCGGGACGCTAATGGTTGGTTGAAGACGCTGGCGCAAAGTATGAACGCAGCCTAAAGGGAATTACGAAATGCCCCTTCCCCTGAGAGGATTTCCACCCGAAATTCTTTCTTATTCCATTGTTTATTTACTTTCTTTACTTCCAGGAAGAATAGAGGCATAACCTACAGCTCACACTTATACATATTCTCATACCGAGTTACCGAATCAATTTTTATTTAATTCAGCTATGGTGACGCTATCTGTATGCTTCTTTGGACTGGCTTATGGGGTCGATTGCTCTACACATGGCTTGGCACTCTTCTTCCTCTGCACTATTGGAGCCGCCTTTGGTCTCTGTATCAGCGGATTCCTAACAAGCCTTCTCTCTTTATCACCGCATTTCATAGGAGTTCTCACAAGTACTTCGCAAATAATCGGTGAGCACGAAAACTCATCTAACTGATAGTTGATACCTATGAATACAAACCTTCCAGGCTTTGGTGGACGGCTGGCAACTCCCCAGATAATCACATTTTTCAAGACTGTGGTGAGCTTTCTCATAATTTCCTTAAAAAACTCGAGGAAACGCTAACAACAAGTGCTTTCAGGGCACGGCTGAGGAATGGCGAGGAATTCTGCTGGTGTACTCGGCCATGACCGTTGTATCGGCTGTGCTGTTCTTCATTTGGGGCTCAGGTAAAGTTGAAACGGAAGCAGCTAACCTCTTCTTCACCTCAAAAGCCATCTATTTGCAGGAGATGTACAACCATGGGATTCCTACAAAGTCAATCCACCTGGTTCCAAGGAACAGGAGACCGATAGCAAACCGCTAGTGGATCAAAATATGCTCCAAAGTATAGCCGAAACTTAGCTTTGGGCAATAGCTTGCTGAGGCGAATCCTATCTAGGGTCTTTGGTTGCTAGGCTATTCGGTTTTAATTTTTAACTATTGAATATCATCTGTCTGTACAGAGGACTCGATCTGAAAACGTTACGCGGTCTAATAGAAGAGAAATACTGTCCACTTATTAATTATGCATCACTAATTGATTTCATCTGTCGTAAAAAGCATATTCCATGCGTTTGGGCACTGCCAGGCCTTCTTTGATTATGCTTGTTTGCCTGAAGAGTAAAGACGTTCCAAGATGAAAGGCGCAACCGCAAGCCGGACCTCGCCCACACGATCAGCGTGGAATATAACTTTAGCAACTTCTGAGTAGAAGTCTCTCTCACGGTTCTGCTTATGATCACAATATTGAAGTGTTATTGTGAAGTTGTACTACATAAATATGTACCTATTTTGGTGTTGATAAATTATTTTCTGGAATGACTTGACTTTGACTTCAGTTTAGATACGCAGGGCACGTTTTGCCGTTGGGAAAAGTTTTGCAGATTACGAACTCCTTCCCCCCCTCCCCCCCACAAAGCTTACTTTGGAGATGGATGAGCCACTTATTGTGCGTGAAAAGTTGGAACGTGAATGGTCAGAGCGGTAGCAAAAGCCATGCAAACGTAAGAGCACAGAGAAAAATAGAAAGTTGGCGAAATTAAAGGGATCGAGTTGTAGTTGTCCGTAGACCACAAGTATAATACACGTCATGCAGACGTGAGAGTGCAGAGCAATACAGAAAGCCTGGAATTGAGTTCAAGGTGCCCGTAGACCGAAATGAGCTGGTCCGGTCGTCCAGTCACGGGAGATTGCTTTGCCTTCTCGGCCAGTTCTTTCCTTTTTCACTCACTATGAGCTCCTCGACCACCCTATTATCATCATTGAAGTCCATTAATATTGAGTGGTAATTGCGTAGTTTGTTTTCATCTGTCGTATAAGCTTACTGATGCGTTTTTGTCATCGAGGTGTGGTTGAAGGTGTAATATTTGGATGTACAGATTGCATATTACATGTACCGTAGGACGGACTGTCCTATAGAGGAATTCTATCGTGTTCTGCGCACCCACTGACGAATTTAATACTGCCAAAGCCAAACGAGCTTTCTATTTCTTCACAGGCACTGAATGTGTTTAGTAGCCACGTTAAGCAGTTGCTGAACCAGTCCTTTGAAGCAAGTCCTTCGTCCTTCGTAGTTCACACGACGTATTCGAAATCGGAGATTATATTTATTGTTTGTTTTTTTAGGTTTAAGTAAGCCAGGAAACTCAGTGTTGCTAAATGTAGGTGATTGAATAATAATTTATTGCATAATTAACAATGCATAAGTAATTCAAAGCGTACAACAACGTACGTACAGATAATCGTCGCCATGGCGATGTGTAGAAATCTTCAAATCCTTCAATAAACCTCTTTCAAATGTTGTGATGGGAAAACTACAGTATCCATACCTGATAGTTTCCGGTCTTATTGAGGTCTCTTATATTTGTGCTTGATTCACGTCATCTGCTGCCGCCTTTTCGAACAACCGTCCCAGCTGTTCATTCATTGGTCCTAAGATTGTCATTCATGAACCAACAATGACTGTGATACTTACTGTTCTCATCGGGTGCAGGTCAGGTCAGGAGACTCGAGTTGCGGCGACGCACCGTGATCAAAGCGGCGCGATGAGCCCATCGCTACTCCTGCACCCACTTCAAGTGTTTATTGTGCGCTTACATCATCGCTTTTCGCGACGTCTCCGCATCTCGGATCTCCTGTCTCCACCCGTTTTTCTTAGGTTGTCTCTGTTCACGAGTATCTTTACTATTTTGTTCCACCAGCTTTTTTATACTGTTGAATTTTCTTGGCCTTTTTTCTGGTGTGAAGATGGCATTCCATAGGCCTCTCACCTCTAGTAAATAACTTGCATGGAACTAATGTGTTACTGCTTTGAGTGACACGAATTTGAAGATCGTCGTTCCCTACTCGTCGTTGGCTACATAGATTGTACAGTCGTCAGTCCTTGACCTGATAGGGGCGGTCGCAGAAGGCGGTGCACATTGTTTTGGAGCTTCTCAGCCTTTTTCGTTGAAACGCGTATGCGACAAAAAGTGATAGAAAACGAGTAACACGAAGATATATACATAATGTCACTTCCTGGTTCAACGATTGGTGCAGTACGGTACGGAGCAGCGCGCGCCGCACGCAGCCGCACTGACATTGACTATCAAGTGCAAGGATGACGACTGTAAGTCACGATCCCTCCAAACATTTGGACGTGAGAACGGGCGCTGCGATTGGATGTGCGTGTAAAGAGGGCACGTGTTTCACTAATTATGCTATCCCAAATCCTCAACGATTGGCGGAGAAGGGTTGATCAGGCTGTGCTCCAATTCACGCCCCTTCCGTTTGCAGGAATCATGACTGTACGTGTTTGAGTATTGTTACGTTTCAGCATAGAACTCAAATATAGCGTTAGCCGCGGCGGAACCAGGCTGTCAGGCCGAAACGCGCGGCGCTAGCTCATTACTCTCCCACCTGTTGAAGAGGGCGGTAAGGGGCGCAGTTGTAGCAACAACTGCCTCAGGGGGGGAAAAATGGTGACGTCGTGCGGCAGTGCAGAATTTTAACCCTCCATACGCACCAAAGCACCAACACAAACGGCGAACAAGACGGTACCGTCATGACCCCTGGGGCATGGCGTGGAGCGCAGCCAGATCACATTTCGCACCAGTAGTAGTAGCGGGTTCAAGATGGCATCACAGGTAGAAAAATGGAGCCTTGGCTGCGCTCCAATACGCGCCGCTTGGCACGCCCTATCATTTGCAGGGATCGTGACTGTATGTTGCGTTTCATCGAGCAGAACCTATCGCTCCACTTTTTTACTACTCGATTCCAGTAAATAGTGACCCCCATGTGAGGTAAAGGATCAAAAATGCAATCGATCACTGTGAAATCATTTAACTCCTACCCTACATGATTTCCACCGATATTCCTTCTTTCTGACATACCTAAATTTGCCTCTGCTAGAGAATTCTCAGCGCTCTGCTTTATGGCGCGAAGTCCACGATCGACACCTGAATGGCTGGAATTTCCTCACTCGAACTCTTGTTTAGACTTTCCAGGTAATCTGCACCAAACCCAGGACATTCATTCCATAGCGAAAATAAGAAAGAAGTTTTCGAAGTAAGGAAATTCCACGCCACCATCCAAGAATTGAAACCTTCAAGAGAGATCGTCAAGCTTACCTGTTCTCAACTGCTGCCAAGTGTTCCTGAGTTGATTTCCCATGAGTCGGACATCCTGGTCCAGACCGGTCTCATCCAAAGATGCCTTGAATTTGGCAACGACGTCCTTGATTGCGGCCAAAAGCTCAGCATTTGGCTAGAAATAATACATTTTTATTTCATTCTCAATGTGCCTCGGATTAGTCTTATTAGTCTTTCTATGTATTATATCTACTTTCAACGAAGAACGTTAGAAGGGATAAGCCATTAGGCAGAGGAGGTTACCGGGACATGTGGACAGCACGCGGGTCAGAACTGATCATCTACTCAAGTGGAAAATCTTGTTTCCATATTTGAAGAAGTTGCTGACAGATGCCCATGTGGGACACATACCGTGTGGCTTCCAGGGCTGCTCTGCCCTTGTCTGGGGCTTAAGCCTCCCAAAAAGAGGTGGTACCGCTGTCAGTTGGATACTGTACGCGGTGGCGTCGTCCACAAATTAGATAGTATTTTCTAGCTGGCTTACTCGACATACCGTAGCACTTCCACATTAAGGCACCCTCGCTGCTCTTGTGGGTTTCGCGAAAAGCCGTCGAAGAATTTGTAGGTAGCGGGCTTGGAAAACTGAAAAGCGTGCCAAATAAGGTCCTTCTGCTTCAACCAGGGGCTAGAAATCGATAGGGCGTCCGCGCGAGACTAGATAGGGGCAGCGGAAAGAGCATGCAGACAGAGCGTGCGGGGCAGACACGACTTCAATAAACGGGGCGAACCCACTGAGCAGATTTGTGCCGACTCCCCTCTTACGAGTTTCTGGACGCAGATATGTAGGAGTGTATGAAGCTTTGTCCACAATATCTTTGCACACAAGGGCTCTGCTTCTTCTCTACGATTGCAAAGGTGCCTTGAAATCAGTCAGGTCCTTGTTTGAGGGGGCGGGAGGGGGGGGGGCGCACGAGGTTCCAATCGCACCGCCACGTATGCTGGTAACGAATCTAATCTATCAACTGTGCTCCGAACGTGGCACTTTCTGCCTCTAGAACTGTGTGGTATTTAATCCCTCTCGAGGTATAAAACTGGGGCCACTGGATTCAGTGGCTGCACAGCACCATGCTGTGCGGCTTCGAGTCGAGTTGTGGAAAGAACCCTTTCTCATACCAATTTCTACAATCCAAGACCTAGTTATAAGTTTAGTGTAACCTGGCCGCCTGGAGTTTTCTTCTCTGTGTGTTCACGTACGCCGACCCATTAATTGTCTTGCGCAAGTCTTTAGTGCTACTGTATAGCGACTGTCTTCGCAGAATTACACGACTTTTTGCGACGACCGAAGTACTACTTCTGCTACCTTACTGTGAGAGAAAACCGAGTTTCATTGTCTCCAGGTTTTGCTCTCTCCAAGATCCGATCTCAACGTCATTTACCTACAGAATGTTTACTATGCAGCTCCAAGCCATAATAGCTCAGATGAGTCTTCGATTTCTGATAGCTGGCCCATTACTTGATTACAAGACAGTAAATAGAAGTCTCCAAAAGGACAGACTCCCCGTTCCGATGTCTTAACGCTAGCTTCCCCTCCTGGTGAGCTATGTGCTGCGAGGAATTGCGGTTAGAAAAACGTCTTGTCTTGAACGCTCGGAGATAGTACAGGATCGACAACAAAAAGAAACGAAAAGGGAATGGGAAACATGCAAGGAAGAAGCGATCATGCATAGATCATGCTTGCCCACCCAAAGATATTCCAAGAAGGAAAACGGCGAGGAGGAAGTAGAAGTAGCCGTCTCTGGACTAGACGTCTTGCAACAGGAATTCACCCAATTTGTCGTCGATTCGACAGTGCTAAAGGTTACCACGTAACTTCGAACTATTTCAGGTTGAATGTCTTTTCTAAAACAACCTTGCTAGTGGGTTCACTGTCGTCGAACCAGAAGTAGTGGCCTTTATGTCAGTTTTCGGCCGTGCGGTTCTCCATTTGTATGGCAGCCTTATTCGAACAGACGCACTTGAAGATTTGATGGAAGGAGCTGTTGTCGCTTGCAGAAAAGGTACAATCGTCGAGTAGATGTTCATTAGTGATCTTGGTAGCATCTTTTTGATCATGTTCGAAGCTGCGCTCTCCTTTTCTTTATCTAATTCCTCTTGTTTCCGTAGGAGTAATTGGTGGTAACGCGCAAGCGAAGTTTGATAGCGGGATCTCTGTGAAAAAAGCGGAATTTTCGGAGTTATATGAGAACAATGTTCTGCTATAGAAGCTGCTATAGAGGCTGTGTGCGGGTCAACACATCCGAGATGAGGCAGTGAGGCGAAAGTCGCATTACTGAAGTAGCGATGACGTCGAGAAACCGGCACGTATGCAATGACCGTTTTGCAATCGGGACACGGCACACATATAGTATAGCATAAGAAGAAAGGGAATTATCTTGCCGTCAGTGCTTTACGTCTGTCATGCCGCAGTCCATCTCGGATCTGTTCGCCCGCATCACATAAGAGGTTACAGCAATAGTGTAACTCGGGATAGTGCCGATACTGCACAGGTCAGCAGCCCTTTTATAGACCGGTGGAGTTGGGGTGATCTCATTGAGAGAGGGAGTCACTCTGCAGCAATTGTGTCGTTCCCCACAAACACAGAATGAATCATCCATTTTCTCCAGCAAGCATATGCCCTCACAGCCGCCCAGAGCTCCGTCGTTCCTCTCACTATATAAGCAGGCTGATCACCGTTTACAAAAATAAAACCTGGCCATACTTAGTATCTCCCAGGGGAATAATCCTTCAAGTTGACTACCCTGGGATGTAGGCTTCGACGTCCTCGATAGTGTGCCTTCTTTTCCACCCTTGCCGTCCGGCCCATTAGCCCCGTAGAAGCGAGAGGTGGTATCGGAAAGGCACTGGACTACGCAGTTACGACAGGTGCTTTATCCGCACCAGGCGTGACCGGCTAAAATCGCACACTGGTGGGAAACGCCAGTCGTGGCTTATGCTCTAATCTACCCTCCATTCGGTGGCCTGTCCCTTTGAAGGGATGACTGCATGACGTCAAGCATACTTTGCGGGCCTAAATTTTTTGCCATTGCTTGAGCAGCAACGTTCACGACTTCGAAGATGACGCACGGTGCCCCTCATGTACGCGGCGTCCAACGCTCATAGGCGAGAATTGGAGCTGCAAACACCGCCGTGCCTGTACCGATCGGCGACGGCCTCTTGTGTTTTGAGAGAGTATAGGAACTGAGAGTTTGGGTGCTGCCCAATCACACAATCGATCGGCATTAGCAGTCAGTGTTTTGGGATTGGGGTAAGCAGAAGAATTTAAGGGTGCCGAGATTAGGTGTGAGAGCGCGATGCCGCCGCCCTTCCTGGGTGGGCGCCAATCAATACCTGTCTCCGGCTGCGTTCCTATCTATAGCATTGGAGCGCTACTGCGGTGGCAGCGCGTCGGCGCGCATCGTGAAGTCTGAACGCTGCTAACCGTGGAAACTCCTACATTTTGGAACTTCTGATTACGAAGAGAAGGTGTACTAGGAAGACCAACAACACCGATAGAAACAGTTTATCAGAGCATCTGCGGAAATGAAACAATCACGTAAGCCATTCTGTTCTCTGATAAACTGCTTCGAAAAACCCTTTAAAAAATTCCATAGCTCCAATCTGAAGTAAGAAATTCAATAAAAAGACCTAGACATGCATAGAAACCCTGCTTTCACTAACCGGCTTTGGGAGAAATACTGATAAAGAGAACTGAACATAACCCAAACGCTAAGAGGAAGGTCACAACTTCTCCTATGAAGACCGAAGTTACCAAAACATATCGGCAAGACGTTTCCAACCAAACAATTTCTGCACATAATACAACGCTTTCACGTGGGGAAACCACTGACCCCATTGGTTTTCGGACTGTTGCTGGATTGGAGCCCAGAGAAGTTGGAGCACGCGTGGGGAAAATGGCGCATACTCAATAAGCTGAGACGGGTTAAGGGGTGGAATAGTGAGAGAACTCAGAATAGGTGTTGTTCTTGAGCCACTTACATCCTGACCTCCCATAGGATATCGTCGAGCTTGTTGAGCCATCAATTCTGGATAGGCTGGTCGATTTGAACCAAATGATGGGTAGCTAAAACTGAGCGAAATTAGAGGAAGCTTCCACCACAAGAATTTATGCGAAAGATGGCGTTTAGGTGTAATATATCAAAGGCGGAACTTCAAAATAGTTTCTATGGACAGTCTTGATTTCTGCAAACGATAGGGCGTGTAAAGCCGGTTGGATTGGAACGCGGCAAGGGTGACCCTTTTCCACCAATAACGTCACTCTATGCCCGGTACAAGTTGGTGGGAAATCTGCCCTCGTAGCGCATCAAGCCACTTGCAGCCTCACGCCCCTCACTCAAAAGGGTCATGACTGTAATAGCTATAAACTGGTCCTCTTGAGGTCTCTGGACTTGTGGGTGCATTTCGGGCTCGTCCGACCATTGTAATACCATTGCTCTCTTGATTCAGGTCGGAGACCCTCAACACGGTCGACACGGTAGCGCAGAGGTGGTCTAAAAAGGAAAAAAAGGCCAGTTCCTATCATCCAATAGCCCTTGCACGTCATACGGTGCAGTTCGATGGAGGTCGGCGCTCTAACGTAGGACCTCGAGGAAGAAAGGACTGTCCAGAATTCGAAAGAGTGGAAGGTCCTCATCATACATTACCTGCACCAAACCAATCAGGTCACCCACACACCTCGTCGACACTCACACACGCATACGAGTGGAAGAGCTGTACTGGAATGCCTGGCAAAGGGGTGGAAAGCTATAAGAAAGAACCTGAATGAGCTACGTTGCCTCTGCCAAGTGTCTCCGCCCCGCTTTAGTGTCTGTTGTTTCGCTCGTTTGTGTGCTCTCTCGCCACTGTTGTCTGGCCTCTCGCCCAAGATCTCAGCAACTCTTCACCTCTGCTAGGAACAAATGAGGCTCTATTTAGCGTTGTCGACGATTTCTTCGGTACTTTCCACGGTCAAGCCAGCAGCCACATCTCTTTGTTTTTCAACCCTTACACTCGCGAACGATAGGGTGTATGACGGGGCATAGCTTAGAGCGCAGCCAGGTTAGACTTCCGATCAGCTGTATCGGGCTCAGGATGGCACATCGCTGGAAAAAGAGCGCGCTGGCCGCACTGCAATCCGCACGCCCTGTCGTATGCATGGATCATTTCTGTATCTTTCAACACTTTATCATAAAATGTGACAATTCAAGTGCTTGGGAAAAACTCACTTTTGATAGTTGGTCGCTGGTGCTCTCTCATACATTGCTGGTGGATTTCGACCAAAACCGTAACCTGTGGTCAACGGCTTCTGGGGCGTCTGATACCACGCAGGAAGTACGTCAGGGTTGACCTCTGAAAAGAATACATTGTCATTTCTAATGATAGCTAGAGGGAACATCTAAAAACCCTACCATTCGTTCTCTGTGGCGTTGAGAATTGTTGCGAGAGGGCCAACAAAGGAAGAGATGCAAAGAGGATTAGGCTGAAACGAAGTATTACGCTCTGAACATTATGGTTTTTCAAGAATGGAAGTTGCAAATGAGTATCGTCGTTTTTGCTGCAGACGCTGTGGCATGCCAAAGGGCTTTGTTTGGCGCGACGCCAGCTCCTTCTTCGCTGATTGTTGAAGCAGGTAAATGGCATCAAAGAATGGGAACGTCACGTCGAACTCAGCCCTCTAACACTCCCCTGCGTCTGCTACCAAATGGCTATAAACTCCGGGTGAGGAGATCTGACTCTTCTTTAACTCTACTTTTAAGGTCGATACGGATTGGGAAAGGGTAACAGTGCAACGGGTTCACAAATAATATGGGATTCCCTATGCTTCATCGTTCTATTAAAGCGCTGATGCAGCACAGGTGCTCCATACTAACCTACTTCTCAAAGCAGAACCCGCGATCATTCGCCATCTCAGATAGTGGATTAGGGGTTTCCATATAGACGACAAGGGGTTGAGTAACTCGACAGTAAAAAAGCACA